CAGCAGCAGCTCATATGTCACTCATTAAACTTCAACAATAGAGGCTCGTGTGCGCACGCGCCGCTGCGTCTGCTTCATCTCAAGTCAATCTGCACCAGGATTCTGTGTTCAACACTTTCTGAACGCCCTTGTTCTCCCTCTATCCACTCAGTTATGAGGTTATCTGGTAAACACAGTCTGATTGCAGGTCTCTGAGCAGCATATAACTGTGAAGATCCAGAGCTGTGTACATTACTGCAGGATCTGTGCTTCAAGATAAGACATTTAGAGCAAACGCAAGTCTATTTAATTCATTCGTTTTCTTTTCGGCTTAGTACCTTAATTTATCGGTGATGGCCACAGCGGAATGAACCGCTAACTATTCCAGTGTATGTTTTTACGCAGCGGATGCCCTTCCAGCCATAATCCAGCACTGGGAAACACCCAGTCATTCACACACACACTCATACACTACGGACAATTTAGTTCATCAATTCCCCTATAGCGCATGTGTTTGGATTTTGGGGGAAACCGGAGCACCCTGGGGAAACCCACACCAACACGGGGAGAACATGCAAACTCCACACAGAAATGCCAACTGACCCAGCTGAGACTCGAACCAGCGACCTTCTTGCTGTGAGGCGATCGTACTACTCACTGCGCCACCGTGACGCCCTGCTAGTCAATTAAATTAAGCAATTTTATTCATGCCGTTTGACATATTTTTCGACTAAATAATTAATGCAAATGATCAATGAACAGTTTAAAGATTTTGTCCCACCAAATTATTTGACTGTAGTTTCATTTTCAGGGTTTAAAGTCACTTTTTAGGCAAATCACTTTTTTAGACTTGCCTATTTGTGAGGTGTGTGTGTGTATTTTTTATTTATTTATTTATGACTTTTATAGCAAATTATAGTAAAAAATAGATAACAAAATTATATTTCAAAAAGTATAGATAGTATCAACTTAAGCGCATACAATGAGAAACAGACATATAAAAAAAAACATACCAACAAATAAAAATGTAAATAATACTGTGGCTTAACAAAAACTACAATTGTACAAGCACACAACACACTCTACTTTGCACTTAGAAAAGAAAATGAATCAATTTGCTGGAACAAGGACTTGGTGTGTAGTTGACAATAAAACATGTTATTGGCTATATTTCCTAAATGGGTCCCAAATATTCTTAAACTGGTTAGATGAACCTCTAGACAGTCTAATTTTTCCAACTTTACGAAGAAGAGGACATCACGGATCCACTGTGTTGGGGTTGGAGGTTTCTGATCCTTCCACCTAAGCAATATTAGTCGTTTGGCCAGGAGCACAATAAAGGCAATCAGATGATATTTTAATAAAATTATCTGACGTGGGCAAAATTCCTAAAATGGCAATCAGTGGGCAAGGGGATATATACAGTTGAAGTCAGAATTTTTAGCCCTCTTTGATTTTTTTTCTTTTTTAAATATTTTCCAAATGATGTTTAACAGAGCAAGGATATTTTCACAGTATGTCTGATAATATTTTGTTGTCTAAAGAGAGTCTTGTTTGTTTTATTTCAGCTAGAATAAAAGCAGTTTTACATTTTTTATGAACCATTTTAGGGACAATATTATGAGCCCCTTTAAGCTTTATTTTTCTCATTAATCTACAGAACAAACCATCATTATACAATAAGTTGCCTAATCACCCTAAACTGCCTAGTTAACCTGATTAACCTAGTTAAGCCTTTAAATGTCACTTTAAGCTGCATAGAAGTGTCTTGAAGAATATCTAGTCAAATATTATTTACTGTCATCATGGCAAAGAGAAAATAAATCAGTTATTAGGGATGAGTTATTAAAACTATTATGATTAGAAATGTGTTGAAGAAATCTGCTCTCCGTTAAACAGAAATTGGGGAAAAAATAAACAAGCGGTCTAATAATTTAGGGGGGCTAATAATTCTGACTTCAACTATATATATATACATATATACATATATATACATATATACATATATATATATATATATATATATATATATATACACACATTAAACAAATTTTTTATTTTTTTTAAAGTTACCATTTTCCCAAGTGTATATAACTACTACTGTGAGAAATATCAGCATTTGGTACAGTACTTTCTTTGCATGAACTGAGCCGATCTAATCCCGTTTATATGAATTGAGCCTGCTGCCGAGCAGGTTTGATCTAGCAGAACTGTTGCTATGACAACAACTCTCGGATCAGCTTTGAAGAACGAAACGATCCTGGATCGTGTCAAATCGTCAACATCCAAATCCAGCTAACTGAGTAATCCACGTACGTAGAACGGACCCCAGTACTGCTGTGTTATTTGACTGTTTGTAAAGACTCAATCTGGTTCTTGATTTTTGCATTTTTCAAACACATGAATGCAGCGATTGGAAGGATTAATGAACACATGCAAATCACCATCATTTATAATTGAATGTGCGTGGGTGTTTAGATCCTGATCTTTTAATGATTAATCGTGCAGCTTACACTGAATTCATTAATGCAGGCTCAACAACTAGACACAGAAAACACTTTTAGTAACCTAAGAAAGCCACCACATCTCTAATAATCCATCTTTATATTCTACAGGAAAGCCTAAATGCTTTCATACATGTGATTTGAAAGACGTGAGAAGCGATCTCTGCGATCGTTACACATTTAGGATTAAACTACATGTAAAAAATGTATTAATCCGCAGGTCACGTGTGTTCCGAACTGTGGGTTGTGATCCATACAAATCACGGATCAACCGGAATCCATTACACTCCTAATATATATATATATATATATAATTTTTATCTTCTGCATAACTGTTTTTTTGGCTTTCCTTGTCTTTTTTAAGTGTAAAATGTATTGAAAATTCAGTTTACAGGCGCTATACAAATATAATTATCACTATTTTTTATTATTAACGTGATATTAATTCTGTGATAAATTATTTCCGATGAACACGCCACAGTAAATGACCCTGGAGAAACTGAGAACGCTTTTAGATGAGAACATGAGCCCCAGCATTGCTTTACTGGGCTTCAGATGGAGTGTGTTGTGAAATCCCGCAGCAGACGCTTCCCTCCTGAACCCGACTGAGAGGATGCGTGTGAAACTGAGCTCTGTGTGTGTGTGTGCGTGTGTGACCTCTGCTCCAGTTTGACAAAAGATCTGCGTGGAGTTTGTTCTGCAGCGTTTCATCTCCACATCATACAGTTCCTGAGAGCGACACCAGAGATTTCCAGCTATTGTGTTGAATGAAGCTCAGACAGCGGAGAAACGCAGGAGAGAAGCGTAAACGAGTCTTTCTGCATTAACGAGATTGATCATCAGATTTATTCATGCAAACATGTATCAAACAATCAGTGCATAAACAATAGAGCTGTGCTGAAAAACAGTTTGAGAAATTGATTCTGAGCTTAGTGTTAAACATAAGATGGTGCTTTAGGATAGTTTTGAACAGTAGATTTGCGCTCTAGGCTAGTGTTTAGCAGCAGACGGCGCTCTAGGCTAGTGTTTAACAGTAGATGGCGCTCTAGGCTAGGGTTTAACAGCAGATGGTGCTCCAGGCTAGTTTTGAACATAAGATGGCGCTCTAGGCAAGTGTTTAACAGCAGATGGTGCTCTAGGCTAGTGTTTAACAGCAGATGGCGCTCTAGGCTAGAGTTTAACAGCAGAGGGCGCTCTAGGCTAGTGTTTAACAGCAGAGGGTGCTCTAGGCTAGAGTTTAACAGCAGAGGGCGCTCTAGGCTAGTGTTTAACAGCAGAGGGTGCTCTAGGCTAGTGTTTAACAGCAGAGGGCGCTCTAGGCTAGTGCTTAACAGCAGATGGCGCTCTAGGCTAGTGTTTAACAGCAGATGGCGCTCTAGGCTAGGGTTTAACAGCAGATGGTGCTCCAGGCTAGTTTTGAACATAAGATGGCGCTCTAGACTAGTTTTAACAGCAGATGGCGCTCTAGGCAAGTGTTTAACAGCAGATGGTGCTCTAGGCTAGTTTAAACAGTAGATGGTGCTCTAGGCTAGTTTTGAACAAAAGGTGGCGCTCTAGGCTAGTTGACCATTAGATGGCGCTCTAGGCTAGTATTTAACAGCAGATGGCGCTCTAGGCTAGTGTTTAACAGCAGATGGTGCTCTAGGCTAGTGTTTAACAGCAGATGGCGCTCTAGGCTAGTGTTTAACAGCAGATGGTGCTCTAGGCTAGTGTTTAACAGCAGATGGTGCTCTAGGCTAGTGTTGAACAGCAGACGGCGCTCTAGGCTAGTGTTTAACAGCAGACGGCGCTCTAGGCTAGTGTTTAGCAGCAGACGGCGCTCTAGGCTACTGTTTAACAGCAGATGGCGCTCTAGGCTAGTGTTTAGCAGCAGACGGCGCTCTAGGCTAGTGTTTAGCAGCAGACGGCGCTCTAGGCTGGTGTTTAACAGCAGACGGCACTCTAGGCTAGTGTATAACATCAGATGGTCCTCTAGGCTAGTGTTTAACAGCAGATGGCACTCTAGGCTAGTGTTTAACAACAGATGGTGCTCTAGGCTAGTGTTTAACAGTAGATGGCGCTCTAGGCTAGTGTTTAACAGCAGACGGCACTCTAGGCTAGTGTTTAACAGCAGATGGCACTCTAGGCTAGTGTTTAACAACAGATGGTGCTCTAGGCTAGTGTTTAACAACAGATGGTGCTCTAGGCTAGTGTTTAACAGTAGATGGCGCTCTAAGCTAGGGTTTAACAGCAGATGGTGCTCCAGGCTAGTTTTGAACATAAGATGGCGCTCTAGGCAAGTGTTTAACAGCAGAGGGCGCTCTAGGCTAGAGTTTAACAGCAGAGGGCGCTCTAGGCTAGAGTTTAACAGCAGAGGGCGTTCTAGGCTAGAGTTTAACAGCAGAGGGCACTCTAGGCTAGAGTTTAACAGCAGATGGCGCTCTAGGCTAGTGCTTAACAGCAGAGGGCGCTCTAGGCTAGAGTTTAACAGCAGAGGGCGTTCTAGGCTAGTGTTTAACAGCAGAGGGCGCTCTAGGCTAGAGTTTAACAGCAGAGGGCACTCTAGGCTAGAGTTTAACAGCAGAGGGCGCTCTAGGCTAGAGTTTAACAGCAGAGGGCGCTCTAGGCTAGTGCTTAACAGCAGAGGGCGCTCTAGGCTAGAGTTTAACAGCAGAGGGCGCTCTAGGCTAGAGTTTAACAGCAGATGGCACTCTAGATCGCGCTCTCCTGTTAAACTCTAGCCTAGAGCGCCCTCTGCTGTTATAAACTCAGCTCAGAATGGATTTCTCAAAGGTTTTTTTACCACAGCTTTAATAAACACAGGAACATCACTTATCAAAACTCGTACCTAAACAGATTTGAGAAATGAGTTAAACCGGTCTACTATGAGTCTCTTTCACAGTTATTCCGTCAGTGCATCTGCATGAGAGGCGCTACAGTACAGCATCAGTGATCATCAGTTATAGATCAGCGATTGGTCAATATGGCGTCCACAGCAGCGGAGAGGTCATCCACATACGCATCTGCTCTCACACTCGGGTCACACTCATCACTCGGCCTGCAGGAACACAAGAAACACATCAGAAATGCATCGGTGGAGGTCAGACATGGGAGTGACTAAAGGACTCCTGCCACACTCTGATAGGTGGAATGGTCTGCACAGCATCATGGGTAATGTAGTCTTTTTGTTTAATATAAAGGGAGTAATTGATGACTGCATTGAATTATTAGAAAAAATACATTTAAATTGTATTAAATTGTAGTAAATAACACGCCATCAAGATTTTTAGTTGGAGTATTTTATTCTAGTATGCTACAACAAGTTGCATCTGATATAATGTGATGATGTAAATATCTACTTTGCCACACTTGTTGTGAAGAGCTGAATATTGCACATCTTTAGGGAAGGTGTAAGACCTCGGGTATATGGTCGTGATGTTGATTTCTTCAGGCCTGGCGTGTTCAGACAACCGTATTTACTGGGACTCTTATCATCGGCTCAGCAGGAAACACTGGCTCATTAGCAGCGCTGATGATGAAGAGCTGAACCATCTAAACTCCACAGCACTGACTCGTTATTTCTGCAGTGAGATCAGCAATCAGGCTTATTTCCATCACTGGACAGATCTCAGATCAGTGTCTGCGTCTATCTCAGGGTTCCTACAAAGTCTTCCAAAGTCAAATTTAAGCACTTTCAGGGAACATTTTCTTCTTAATATATCAAAACTTAATTTGTTCAGTTTTAAATATATGTCAATATTCATTCATTCATTTTCTTTTCGGCTTACTCCCTTTATTAATCAGGGGTTGCCACAGCGGAATGAACCGCCAACTTATCCAGCACATGTTTTACGCAGCGGATACAGTTTAGCTTAGCCAATTCACCTGTAGCGCATGTGTTTCGAGTGTGGGGGAAACCGGAGCACCCGGAGGAAACCCACACCAACATGGGGAGAACATGCAAACTCCACACAGAAACGCCAACTGACCCAGCCGGAACCTAAACCAGCGACCTTTTTGCTGTGAGGTGACAGTGCTACCCACTGCGCCACAGCACTGCCTATATGTAAATCTATCACATGTAAATATATCAGAACTTATTTTGTTCAACTTTAAATATACCATATGTAAATATATGTAAATTTAACAGAACTTAATCTTCAATTTAAAATATAATGAATATATATATATATATATATATATATATATATATATATATATATATATATATATATATATATACAATTGAAGTCAGAATTATTAGCCCCGCTTAAATTTTTTTTTCTTTTTTAAATATTTCCCAAATGATGTTTAACAGAGCAAGGAAATTTTTACAGTATGTCTGATAATATTTTTTTATTATTTTTTATTTTTTATTCTTATTTGTTTTATTTCGGCTAGAATAAAAGCAGTTTTAAATTTTTTATAAACCGTTTTAAGGTCAATATTATTAGCCTCTTTAAGCTAATTTATTTCAATAATCTACAGAACAATCCATCGTTATACAATAACTTGCCTAATTACCCTAACCTGCCTAGTTAACCTAATTACCCTAGTGAAGCCTTTAAATGTCACTTTAAGCTGTATAGAAGTGTCTTGAAGAATATCTAGTCTAATATTATGTACTGTCATCATGCCAGAGATAAAATAAATCAGTTATTAGAGATGAGTTATTAAAACTATTATGATTAGAAATGTTTTGAAAAAAATCTTCTCCCAGTTAAACAGATATTGGGGGGAAAAAAACAAGCGGTCTAATAATTAGGGGGGGCTAATAATTCTGACTTCAACTGTATGCTATAGATGTCTCAGATGCTATTTGTTACTATTCTGCAAATTGAGATTTATGCATCAGCTGAAACCTGAATACATAAGCTTTTACCGTTGATGTTTGGTTTGTTAGGATAGGAGGATACTACTTGTCTAATACACAACTATTGTAAAATCTGGAATCTGAGGATTCCAAAAAATCTGAATATTAAGAAAATCGCCTTTAAATTTTAAGAGTCAAGCTCTTAGTAATGGATATGACTAATCAAGAATGGAGTTTTGATATATTTACAGTAGGAAATTGACATAATATGAGTATGTTATTGACTTTATTGATTTTTGGCAATGCATTTTTATTGATTACCCAAGAGCATATCTTAGCAAATAGATAATAATACAATAAATGGATCAAAAATGATTGATTTTTCTTTTCAAGAGAAGTCAATGTCATGCACATATTTAGTCAATGTCCTACTGTAAATACCTCATGCAACATTAGACTTGAATTGTGCATTTTTTTTTTAGATTTTTTGCATTTGTTCTGGTTCTGATTTGTTTCTTGTTTGACATTTCTGTTGTTCATTATATACAGTGTTGAATATAAGCTGTTTCAGACACTGTCCTGCAGCGCCACCTGCTGCTCATACATACACACTGATCCTGACAGGAGTTCATCCAGCTTGATTTCTGCTCTGTCTTTATATATGAACTCTCTTCACACAAACCTGTATTTCCCAGTTCTGACTTGAAGACCCTTCATCCCGCAGCTCTGAGCTCCTCCTACATCATTGACCAGATCATCACCCACCATCACAACCTGACACACACACACACACACACACACACACACACAGAGCGCAGAAGTCAGTCTTTAATAGAGTCTTAATCTGAACCAGCAGTGAAAGTAACCAATTACAACAACTCAAATCACTGGAATTGAGTAGTTTTTTCTCAGGAATTAAGCAGTTTTAAAATTTAATCACATTTTAAATTGCTGTATCGGTACTTTAGCTGCACTATTTTTTCTGTAACATGCAGTCACTTCTTATTCTCTTTATGTTTTCGTGTCTACTGTGATTGGCTAAGTAGACTAATCAGTCCTGTGATTCTCGTCCAATCAAATTGCACATAGAAAAATAGCATCAGACATATGAATGCAGCAAACATGTAGTGTGAAGCATTTAAAGTGTAAAAGAAGATGACAAACATCACACACAATGACCAGAGAGACTGTTTACACTGATGATAATAATGAAGGACGCCTAAAAAAAACTACCAAAATCACCAAATGGATGACAGAATTCTAAACACAGCATCAGGTGTGTGTGTGTGTGTGTGTGTGTGTGTGTGTGTTTTATACCTCATGCGGCTGCAGGTTCATGTCATTGAGGACTGTTTTGAAGAACTCTGATGAAGGTTTTCCCACCACCTCAGCCTGGACATCACATGCGTACTAACACATACACACACACACATTCACACACACACACACCATGGGGACAATTTATCATTCCTGTCACATCCCTGCAATCGTCATCAAAGAAGATTCACTGAACCACATCCAACATGCGTGACCTTTGACCTGCTGTATTCACCTCCAGTGCCTTCATGTACACACCCACATCCAGCTTCAGGCCGTCCGTCTCCTTATAGTAGCGTCTGCAGAGGAGCATCCCATGTAGGAACACACACACTGTTATTCAAATGCATCATTACACACATGCCATTATTCACATGTATGATCACACACACACACACAGTTATTCAAATGCATCATCACACACGCCATTATTTACATGTATGATTACAAACACACAACGATATTCAAATGCATTATCACACACACGCCATTATTTACATGTATGATCACACACACACACACACCATTATTCAAATGCCTCATAGCACACATTCCATTACTCACATGCATGATCACACACACACACCGATATTCAAATGCATCATCACACACACACCATTATTTACATGCATGATTACAAACACACACACACACCGATATTCAAATGCATCATCACACACACACCATTATTTACATGCATGATTACAAACACACACACACACACACACACACACACACACACACACCGATATTTAAATGCATCATCACACACACACACCATTATTCACATGCATGATCACACACACACACACACACACACACACACACACTTATTCAAATGCATCATAACACACGCCATTATTCACATGCACGATCACACACACACACACACCGATATTTAAATGCATCATCACACACACACACCATTATTCACATGCATGATCACACACACACACACACACACTTATTCAAATGCATCATAACACACACGCCATTATTCACATGCATGATCACAAACACACACACACACACACACTTATTCAAATGCATCATAACACACGCCATTATTCACATGCATGATCACACACACACACTGTTATTCAAATGCATCATCACACACATGCCATTATTTACATGTATGATCACACACACACACACACACACACACACCGATATTCAAATGCATCATCACACACATGCCATTATTCACATGCATGATCACACACACACACACAGTTATTCAAATGCATCATAGCACACATGCCATTACTCACATGCATGATCACAAACACACACACACACACACACACACACACACACACACCGTTATTCAAATGCATCATAGCACACATGCCATTACTCACATGCATGATCACAAACACACACACACACACACACACACACACCGATATTCAAATGCATCATCACACACATGCCATTATTCACATGTATGATCACACACACACACCGTTATTCAAATGCAACACACCTTTAAATCACATGCACGATCACACACACATTTATTATTCACATGCATTATCGTGCACACCGTTATGCACATTCACACAGGTCTGCCGCAATGACGTTGTTTCCAAACAGGTTTCCATGTTTCTCCAAACACACATAAAGCATCAATCTCCACAGGACCTGTTTGAAAGCAGTCAGTGAGCCTCACCCTCGTCCCAATGAGAACAGCACCGGTTTCTCCAGGCCAATCAGAACACGGAAGGCTTCGTTCAGGTTCTGGTAGGAGAATTTCTCTGCCGCGTCTCCAATGACCACACAGTTAGGGGAACTGGTGTCCACACCATCAAACTCTGGGATCAGATCTGAAACACACCAAGGATATTATAGTTTGGCATATTTAAAGGAGACCTAAGATGCAAAAATCACTTTCATAAGAGATTTAAGCACAGTTGTGTTGCAGCAGTGTGTAAATATAGGAAATATTGACATTCTCCATTTGTACGTGTCATCAGAGGATAAAAGCCCCGCCCACTAGTGACCATCTCTCCCTTAATGACATAAGGCTTTAGTCTTGTTTTGAATCTGCCACTATGCTGACACGTAGGCATTGTAGCCCCGCCCTCTTTCAAAAAAGAGCACAATCTCATTTGAATTTAAAGCGACAGTCACCAAAATGCTACAATTAGTATCAAAGCCTATTAAAGTAGTGTAGTTAAACACACCTAGTTTACATTTCTCAGTAATTGAAGAAGTTATTTACATGCATAATCACACACTTTTAAACACACACTCGAAAACTTCCCCTTCCTTGTTCCCTAGAGAGAATCCCATAGGCGATTTTAAAGTGTGTTCCACTTCAAGTGAATGAGGGAAGTTTACATGGACTGTATTGTACATGGACTGGAGCGAGACGGATTCACATGGTCACTCCAGCGCCTATGTCCCAGAGTGCAATGCAGTTGGGACATCAAAACCAGGTTTTAGGGGCACTGCATTTAAATCCATTCGGATGCTCCGCCAGAAGTGGAGACTTAATCAATGTGTGATGTAATCAATGACGTACATACGAGGGAACGAGACAGGGAAGTTAGTAGAATTGGACTGGAATGCAGCCTATATTAGTGGACTAATGTGTGACTAATATGTGTGATTTGGGACACAGCATGTGATGATGATTATGATGGTGAAGTGCAGTACCGTCGTGCACCAGCAGGTGTGGCCGCAGGTGTCTCTTTTGTAGGATCTGCACTACAGCCGGTGCGGGTGAAAACACGTGACTGACACTGATGTCGAAACCCATCACACGCAGCTTCTGCACGAATCTCTCACGCGTGTTCTGAGTCTCATTAGTGCAGAAACGCAGCATCAGCCCAGAGTCCATCAACCTGACCAACACACACACACACAGACAGACAGACAGACAGACAGACAGAGAGAGAGAGAGACAGACAGACAGGAATGAAACACTGCACAACACACACTCCACATCATTGGTTACCAATCTGGGTAGATAGTTCTATATTATTTGCTTGTATTTCACACATTCAGTAGCTGTAAAATTGCAGTAAATAGCAGTAAAATTGCAAATTCTTACAAAGTATTTTTGAAAGATAAAAATATAAGACACTAAAGTATTTTGATACATAATATTAGGCCATTTTCATCAACACTATAAAATACAAAAATACATATTTGAAATGCACGTATCATAAATACTGCACAATCCCTGACTGTAGGTAATAGTAAAGTATTTTTATTATTATTTTGCTGTAAACAACTGAAACATGAGAATAAAACAATGTACACTCACTGGCCACTTTATTAGGTACACCTGTCCAACTGCTTATTAATGCAATTTTCTAATCAGCTAATCACATGGCAGCAACTCACTGCATTTAGGCATGTAGACATGGTCAAGACGATGTGCTGCAGTTCAAAGCGAGCATCAGAATGGGGAAGAAAGGGGATTTAAGTGACTTTGAACATGGCATGGTTGTTGGTTTCAGACGGGCTGGTCTGAGTATTTCAGAAACTGCTGATCTACTGGGATTTTCACGCACAACCATCTCTAGGGTTTACAGAGAATGGTCTGACAAAGAGGAAATATCCAGTGAGCGGCAGTTCTGTGGGCGCAAATGCCTTGTTGATGTCAGAGGTCAGAGGAGAATGGCCAGACTGGTTCCAGCTGATAGAAAGGCAACAGTAACTCAAATAAGCACTCGCTACAACCGAGCTCTGCAGAAGAGCAGCTCTGAACACACAACACGTCCAACCTTGAGGCGGATGGGCTACAGCAGCAGAAGAGCACACCGGGTGCCGCTCCTGTCAGCTAAGAACAGGAAACTGAGGCTACAATTCACACAGACTCACCAAAACTGGACAATAGAAGATTGGAGAAACGTTGCTGCTCTGATGAGTCTCCATTTCTGCTCACACATTCAGCTCTTCGGGTCAGAATTTGGCCTCAACAACATGAAAGCATGGATCCATCCTGCCTTTATCAGCAGTTCAGGCTGGTGGTGGTGGTGTAATGGTGTGGGGGAGATTTTCTTTGGGTCCATTAGTACCAATTGAGCATCAACGCCACAGCCTACCTGAGTATTGCTGCTGACCATGTCCATCCCTTTATGAGCACAGTGTCTCCATCTTCTGATGGCTACTTCCAGCAGGATAACGCAGCATGTCATAAAGCTCAATCATCTCAGACTGGTTTCTTGAACATGACAATGAGTTCACTGCACTCAAATGGCCTCCACAGTCACCAGATCTCAATCCAATAGAGCAGGGAGTTTGGCATCATGGATGTGCAGCCGACAAATCTGCAGCAACTGTGTGATGCTATCATGTCAATATGGAGCAAAATCTCTGAGGAATATTTCCAGTGCCTTGTTGAATCTCTGCCACAAAGGATGAAAAGGAGTCTAACCCGGTACCAGTAAGGTGTACCTAATAAAGTGGCCGGTCAGTGTATCATGCCGGAGTGATAGAAGGTAAATAAAAAAAATTTAAAAAGTAAAAAAACAAAAGAACAAAACAAAAAAGTAAATAATTAAATAAAATTCTCACAAATATAATCAAGCAGAATCTTTACATTAATGTACAATGTTGAAAACAGAACACAAATGGACAGTTTTAATGGCCTTTCTATTAGTTCTATGTTGAATAGTACAGAAGTAATTTTTAAGTGCTTATATAACACAGTAAAACAGGGTTTTTTTTTTTTTAGAAAATGTACACTTATGAATATGAACCTTAATCAACAAAATAACTAGATTATTGACAATCTTTTTTTAAATTACATTATCACAATTAAAAACCAACATTATTAAATTTTCAAAATGCAATTTAAAATGAAAGAGTACCCTTTCTTTAATAAACACAGCTGTGTGATACCAAAGCTTTTATTTTAATACTGCAGTATGCTTGTTGAAGTACTCATAGAGGTAAAGTTGGTTTTATTTTCACACATTCAGACGTTCTCTTTAATAATATACTTTCAGGAAAGTATTTTTTTGCATATTCTAAATAGTGAAATCATATTAGCAGCCAATGACTATTAAAGTAAACCATTGTTTACAGTCAAATAAATAGTGCTAATGTTGTTTTGAAGTCATATTTACCTTTGATTTCAGACCGAATAGTTAAAGTCCCATGGCAAACAATACAGGGAGCCTGTCACAAGTTGTAACTGAACGAATATGCAAATAGAAAGCCAACTTTACCTCAATGTATGCTTGAGTATTCATTAACAAAGTGTTGTAGATGCTATAGTATAAACACTTTACTAATGTATGTTTCAGAAACACTTTAGTATTTACTATAAATCACAGTAGTGTTTTTTATAAGGGTGTGATTATTTAGTGTTATTAACAATATAAAGTTGATTAACCAGACAGTTGAGTGCATTAGTAGAAAGTGTATGACATGAAGAACATGGTGTACAATGAGTACATGCTGTACAGGGCGTCATTTGAGACACAACCCAAGTCACATGCATCAAAATGTGGCAGAAATAGCAGGTGCAGGATGGATTATGCTGGTTAATGCAGTATACATGCAGATATTTTGACAATATGCACAGTATATATATCCATATGCATAGGTGACGTACGGTAATGCTATTTTGAACGTCATGTCAGTTCATGATTACGTATATTCAACGTGTATTAATATTATGTATTTGGGAAAAAGTTATTATCACCTCTTCACCGCTTCCACAGAGCCGTGTATGGCTCGTCCTCCTCCTTCTCCACTGTCATACAGAACTCCACACATGTCCAAAATCACTCCTTTAACACTTTTGAGAAACTCCAGACTGCTGTCGGCGGCCATGTTGACAGCTCTCCGCACGGCCTTCTGGGAAATGGAGTTCTTTCATTTAGGGCGCACGTAGAGATGCTGCTGACCAAACTAAAGGACACGAAATGCACAAGTATGTTCTATATTATATTTCTTCTGATTATATAGTTAGAATAATATCACTTTAGATAGACTTGAGATGATATTTATTTAGATAATTTGGGCTTTAACTATAAATATGTATAGCTAACATCGCAAATTATTATGTTATGTTATACATTATTTTAATATACTTATAATAGTATACTTCATTACATAACACGTTATATAATTTGCTTGCGGTGAATGAGTAAATATGGTGCTGTGTGAGAGTGAGCACTCATTTCAGGCAATCCTTCGTCAGTATTGCGTCACGATCTTCACCAAAACCCTTATTGATTAACATGACCATCCTCTTTCAAAGAAAACAACCGCAATAAAGCAATTCGAGAAATGTTTTACATAAATTATCGACATTTCTGTGGAAAACGGTTAAACATTTAGCGGTGCTGCGAGTCGTTGCGTCATGACGCAGAGTGACGCGTTTGCGTTCATTTGCATTATCCATTTAGAGCAGCGCGAGGCACGTAACGTTAGAGCGGCAGAAGAGAAGAGTCCCGCACCGACCCGCATCAGGTAAAACACACATGAATACACTTCTGCTGGCGTGACATGAACAACACAGGCTGATAATATCTCACACACACATATACACCAAGATAAACACCATATATTATGTATTACTGTACGAATATGCTAATGATGCGCTTAATGTACGTTATCAGTGTGCGCGCTCATTGATGGAGAACATGTTTGTGATGTATTTAGAGCTGATTTTACTTTATATTGTGTATTTATAATAGTTGAATTTGTCTTGACAGCTGTCTAATGTGTTCAGTGTGCGGCTTTATTTAACCCTTGGCACGATCTGATGTAGGCGTACTGTGGGTAGCAAGTGCTCAGCCAATCACAAGCCAGTGCCGAGAGCACGTGATCTTGCGCCTGTATAAATAAGTGACAGTAGATGGAAAGTTTTGTGTCACTCGAGGAAACAGTTGAATGATTAATAGGAATATTTGGTCATCTGGGATGTGCTGTAATCTCTGCCGTGGTTGGTGATCAGCGGGTTCAGCCTCTTTGTGAAGCTCTGAATGAGAAACACCTGCTGCTTTTGTTGCGTTCTGTCCATTCATCAGTTTCTTTCATGCGCTGGAGATCCAGAGGCCACGTGTTCATCTCATCTCTCATATGCGAACATTATAGTGTATTTTTCACTCTAATAGTATGTATTAAAGAGGAATACACTGGTTTTACTGAGAGCTCAGACTGATGAACTTATATTTTTGTGGGAATAGCCAAAAATACATGATCAAATGTATATATTTTTATAATTTTTTAAAGATACAGTCCTAACATACCATACAATTTCCAAAAATGCACACTTATGTCTGAATTTTTGATTAAAAGGCCACATGTTCATCTCATCTCTCACATACGAACATTATAGTGATTTTTATAAGATTATAAGATTTTTTTTAATGTTTTCTTTTAAGCTTTACGTTTGAGCTCAGACTGATTAAATACATTTGTTTTGCAGTTATATTTGTGACCAGCCAATATAATAAGGTTGCACAGGTATATTTGTGGGAATAGCCAAAAATACATGATCAAAATTATATATTTTTTAATAATATTTTTTATTTTTTTTTATGCCAGAAATCATTAGAATATCAGGTAAAGATCATCTTACATAAAACAGTTAGTAAATATCCTACTGTAAATATATTAAAACTAACTGTTTGCTTTGTAATCTGTATTTTGAACTAATTTAAAGGTGATTTTTCTCAATATTTAGTTTTGAAAGCCTCAGAATCCAAATTTCCAAATAGCGGTATTTCAGCCCAATATCGTCCAGTCCTAAAAAAACATACAATTTCCAAAAATGGACACTTATGACTGAGTTTTTGATCCAGAAGGCACGTGTTCATCTCTCATATGCGAATAATATAGTATATTATTCACTCTAATGTTATATATTGGCAGGAAATACACTGGTCATGAAGACTGAGTTTCTTTTGTGGGAATAGCCAAAACAAAGATCAAAAATGATAAAAATTGCAGTTTTTTTTATAATTATTATTTTATTTTATGCCAGAAATCATTAAAATATTAGGTAAAGATCATCTTCCACTAAAACCTACAGTAAATATCCTACTGTAAATATATTAAAACTAAATATTTGCTTTGTAATCTGTATTTTGAACTAATTTAAAGGTGATTTTTCTCAATATTTAGTTTTTGAAAGCCTCAGAATCCAAATTTCCAATTTCAGCCCAATATCGTCCAGTCCTAACAAACCATACAATTTCCAAAAATGGACCCTTATGACTGTTTTTTTGATCCAGAAGCCACTTGTTCATCTCTCATATGCGAATAATATAGTATATTATTCACTCTAATGTATGTTATATATTGGCAGGAAATACACTGGTCATGAAGACTGAGTTTCTTTTGTGGGAATAGCCAAAACAAAGATCAAAAATGATAAAAATTGCAGTTTTTTATAATTATTATGTTATTTTATGCCAGAAATCATTAAAATATTAGGTAAAGATCATCTTCCACTAAAACCTATAGTAAATATCCTACTGTAAATATATTAAAACTAACTGTTTGCTTTGTAATCTGTATTTTGAACTAATTTAAAGGTGATTTTTCTCAATATTTAGTTTTGAACGCCTCAGAATCCAAATTTCCAAATAGCGGTATTTCAGCCCAATATCGTCCAGTCCTAACAAACCATACAATTTCCAAAAATAGACACTTATGACTGAGTTTTTGATCTAGAAGCCACATGTTCATCTCTCATATGCGAATAATATAGTATATTATTCACTCTAATGTTATATATTAGCAAGAAATACACTGGTCATGAAGACTGAGTTTCTTTTGTGAGAATAGCCAAAAAAGATAAAAAAATGATAATAAAAAAAAGTTTTTTTATAATTATTATTTTATTTTATGCCATAAATCGTTAGAATATTAGGTAAAGATCATCTTCCATGAAGACATTTAGTCAATTATTATTTTTTTAATTATATTTGTGACCAGCAAATATTACTAAACCAGTCTTGTGTTGTTACTCAGGTATATTTGTGGGAATAGCTAAAAATACATGATCAGAAATTACCAAAATTATCGTTTTTTTTTTTAGTTTTTTTTTTTTTATTTCATGCCAGAAGTCATTATAATATTTGTGAATATCATCTTTTATGAAGACTTTGTAAATTTCTTACTGTAAATATATTAAAATTAAATGTTTGCTTTGGAATATGTATTGCTAATAGCTTAATTTGAAGAAATTTAAAGGAGATTTTTTCTTAATATTTAGATTTTATGAAGATTTTCATAGAGCTGAATCTCAGCCCAATATTGTCCCTTTCTAACAAAACATACAGTTTCCAAAAATGGACACTTATGACTGTTTTTTTGATCCAGAGGCCACATGTTCATCTCATATGCGAACATCATAGGATCCTATTATTATTGTCTCACATATATGAACATTATAGTATATTATCCACTCTAATGTTATATATTAGATAGGAATACACTGGTCATGAAGACTGAGTTTCTTTAAAGATTTACGTTTGAGCTCAGACTGATGAAATTCAGGTATATTTGTGAGAATAGACAAAAAATGTATCAAAAATTTTAATTTTTAATTATTATTTTTTATTTTATGCCAAAAATCAACAGAATATTAGGTAAAGATTATCTTCCATGAAGACTTTTAGTAAATACCCTACTGTAAATATATTAAAATTAAATGTTTGCTTTGTAATATGTTTGGCTAAAAACTTAATTTGAACAAATTTAAAGGTGTTTATTTTATATTATTTATTTTTTGATCCCTCAGACTTCAGCCTTTCTAATTGTTGTATCTCATCCAGTCTCTTTCCTATCCTAACAAACCATACGTCAATAGAAAACCTATTTATACAGCTTTCAGATGACATAAATCTCAGTGTGTCCCAAAAACTGGACCCTCATCATAAGTGGTTTAGGGATTTAGGGTCACATATTGGTGCCAATAAAAATGAACACAGCTTAATCGACTTTTTCCCACCATTACAAAGAAAAGCACAACACTGCTGAAGTGCAAAAAGATCTCGTCCACAAAAATGTAACGCCCTCCTGATAGGGAGTATTCTTGGTCATTACACAACTCTGTGGAGTACTTCATTCTGATCACAATGTTCCAAGTCAAGCTATATTAATGTTAATCCCTGATAATGACTTACAAAACTAGTAACACAGGCTCATCTGGGTACAACAAATCATCTTGATCATTAGAGAATGTTGTTATATTTTCACATGCTTACCTGTCACTCTGCTGCTCTTGGTGTCATATTACTAGTAAATAATAATAATAATAATTATTATTATAAGTAAGTTTGTGTAGCCTTCATCCATTCATTTCAAACTTTGTTTAAAGGTGCTGTTTGTCAGTTTTTGACTCTTCTAAAGCTTAAATATGCTGCAAATATTTCAAAAAAATGCTAAGGGAAGATTCTTGTTTATCTGAAAAACAATGCTGAAGTCAGATATTCTGCTTTGAACATGTGTGTTACGTGCTAGAACGTCTGTCTTTGTTTTGGTCCCTTAAACCCGCCCACTGCCAGTTTAGCCAATTATATGTCAGCACCCCGTATAGTGGCACACCTTTCGTGCAAATCCTTATGTACCACCTTTTGCAGCTTCAATTCAACAACCAGTATTTGCAAAAACGCGAGTAAGACCGAATCTTCTTTTAAAAAAGGTTTACTGAACAAATGCAAACAAAAATTACAAAGTTACAATAGACTCGATCAGCTCGGTCAAAAAACTGTGTTGCTTTCAACATCCATAACTGCAATCTGCCTAAAACGTATGAACTACAGACCTCATGACGTATTACTGTCGGAAGCCAAAATACCAAACTAAAGGTTTTTAAATTATATCAATTACTAAATTATGCATTTTAGATAATACAATCACAATGAATTCTTATTAAATTTAAATATCAATTTTTATCATGTTTTAACCTTCACTAAATTATTATCACAAATGAATTGTGCATAACTGGCTCTTACACCCCGGGTTGCCTTGGTGGAAACATCGTATTTCATTCATTCAGTCATGATGGCTCTCAAAGCACGTGTTCGTGACAGAAATGTGACCTCTGGTTGACAGTAGCAGACTCCGAAATGAGATGCAGATTCAGAGTTCCACATGATGTGGTTATTAATTAGCTAATAATATAAATATTATGAATGTAAACATTAGGTGATCAGGTGTCCTATTAACATGCTGCATGATGAGATTTGCAGTGATAAGGAATTTGGCTGTTTGCCGCAGATGAAACACGACAGAAATGTAAATACAGCTTTTCAGAAGCACTGATTATATATACAGCAAGTATATATAATGTAATGAATACATATTGACCCTCTTTAACATTATTAAATGTAGATGCTGAATCACTGATATGTGTTGGTTTGCATTATTTCACAGTTCTAAAGTTCAACTTGGAATGGTTTATTTCATTTCCCAGATCTGAGGTCAAGTCTGCTGCTGCTTTCAGTAGTATGGCATTAAATGTGATGTAAAATGGCATTCAAACTCACATTATTTGCATTTAACACTGGATAAAGCACATGAGGTGCACCTGAGATGAGCATCGTTCACCTGTGAGAAATAGAAGCTGTTGTAAATTTCATTAAATATAAACTCCTATTAGTATGGAAAATATTTCTTCTATCACATGCTGTTGCTTTTAGTTAGAAAACGGTTCCAAGCAACCTTAAATCAGCCTCCAAACTCAATCCGCTTGTTAAGTGGTGACGTGTTTGTGACGTATGTATACTGTTTCCGGGTCCAAGCCGCCATTCATTTGAGTGGAGAAATCATTCGTTTATGATCACGTTTTATTCTTATCACACATTAAAGTTAATTGTATATAAAGTCATAGTGTGCACAACAATCTCTGAGCTTGCTGCATAACAAATACCAAAATTTTAACAATTTATAAAAAAATAATCACTTTCTGGCCATCGGATATTAGGCATGGACTTATATATTGCGATCATGATTTTCGAAAGCGTTAAATCGCTTTGTAAACGTTTATTATTACCATTTCATGAGTCTCACCATTCAGTTGAATAGAGCGCTTGGACCCGGAAGCCGCTCCGCGTGACGTCACACTTAACAAGCGGATAGTCAGGGACACTCACGTCAATCTGGCAACCTGCGCTTGCCTGGACTCATAGAGGAGAAGCCGAGTGAAAATGTGTTTTGATCCAGGCGTGCAATACCCATTTTAACCACTGGGCGTCAAACTTGCACACTGCACCTTTGATGTAAAAGTTAGTAAATTATTACAGCTCAAATCATTGTTTTGTGTCTAAGTGTGTCAAAGCTTTGGAAAAATTGCATAAACAATTTCTAAAAAACTTGCCACAGATCTACTATGGGATGTTTTTGCTGCACAGATTGATTCAAAATGCTGAGGTTAAATTATTTTAGTTTCTTTAAGGGGCGACATATTATGCCTTTCTTTACAAGATGTAAAATGCGTCTCTGATGTCCCTAGAGTGTGTGAAGATTTAGCTCAAAATACCACTAAAATAATATTTTATTTCTCTCTGAAACTGACCCTTTATTACTACTGTGTTCACACCAGACGCGGAAGAAGCATCGAGCTCGAGTGATTTAGATATTAAGTCAATGCAAACGCGAATTGACATCCTGCGGCACGATACACGAATGATGGTGATATTGCTTGTTTCTCGTGAATCTCCAAATGAATCGACGCTGTTTTTCAGCTTTTATAAAACACATAAACACAGTTATTTTCTCCATACATGTTAGCCGTTTAGCAACAAAGCTAGAGTCACGAGGCAGACAGAAGCCCTGCCCATCACGCGAATCCGCCTCTGTTGTGAAGTAAATTTGACGCGGGAATGAAGCGAGTAAACTTAAAATGTTCACGCGTCTATTTACGCACAAATATCACAATTTATCCGCGCTTGCTACATCTGGTGTGAACACAGCATAAAGGCTGATTTATACTTCTGCGTCAAACGCCGGCGTATGCTACGGCGCTGATGCATAGCCCTTCGCCATTGCCATCAGCGTCGCTGACGTGCACCTGTAAAAAAATGTAACTACACGTTGCAACGACGCGTAGCGTAAGCTCTGTGATTGGTCGGCTTGGTAGCGCTGACGAGTCTGGACGGGACCGAGAGCCGCGTGAATGGTGCGAGCCTGATGGAGCGATTGTTTACAAGTGTGGAGTCCCGTGAAAGAGCTCCGGATGGAAAGTTTTGTTTTTGTTTACCTCATAGTTAAAGTTGTTGCACGTCCGCCGGTTCCTGCCTCAAAATGAGCGAGTTTGAGCCACTTGTACATCCAGGAAGTGTTCAGGAAAAGCAAAACAGCACAGAAGAAACTCGACACAGAGGAACATTAACACCTCACTGCCAACTAGCGATTCAGAAGTGTTATTGCAGACCAACAGAGACAGCGCGCAGAAGTATAAATGCACAGCTACGCGCGTTGCATGCGCCGTGGGTTACGCCGGTCACTTGACGCAGAAGTATAAACCAGGCTTTAGGCTTTGATCCTAATTGTGCCATTTTTGTGACTATCGCTTTAAATTCAAATGAGATTGTGCTCTTTTTAGTAGAGGGCGGAGCTACAAACGCCTGTGAGTCAGCATAGTAGCAGATTGCTGATGTGGGGTTTTCTTCTCCTCTGTGTCTCAGTGTGAACAGAACAAGTCATTATGAACAGCATGAAGAGTCTGATGAGAGGCGTCAGCCGAGTGACGCCCTCCCTAACCCGCGCAGTGCATTCTGGGATGCGCACATCCTCCTCTGCAGCCTCCAGAGCTAAAACACAGGAGCGTCCGATGACGTCAGAGGAGGTGTTCGCCCGCGAGGACCGATATGGCGCTCACAACTACCACCCGCTGCCTGTCGCCCTGGAGAGAGGAGAAGGTATGAGCAAACACAAAGACTAATAGAGCACCATATACTCTTAAACACTAGCCTAGAGCGTCATCTGCTGTTAAACACTAGCCTAGAGCGCCATCTGCTGTTAAACACTAGCCTAGAGCGCCATCTGCTGTTTAACACTAGCCTAGAGCGCCATCTGCTGTTAAACACTAGCCTAGAGCGCCATCTGCTGTTTAACACTAGCCTAGAGCGCCATCTGCTGTTAAACACTAGCCTAGAGCGTCATCTGCTGTTAAACACTAGCCTAGACCGCCATCTGCTGTTAAACACTAGCCTAGAGCGCCAATTGCTGTTCAACACTAGCCTAGAGCACCATCTGCTGTTAAACACTAGCCTAGAGCGCCATCTGCTGTTAAACACTAGCCTAGAGCGCCATCTGCTGTTTAACACTAGCCTAGAGCGCCAATTGCTGTTCAACACTAGCCTAGAGCACCATCTGCTGTTAAACACTAGCCTAGAGCGCCATCTGCTGTTAAACACTAGCCTAGAGCGCCATCTGCTGTTCAACACTAGCCTAGAGCGCCGTCTGCTGTTAAACACTAGCCTAGAGCACTGTCTGCTGTTCAACACTAGCCTAGAGCGACGTCTGCTGTTAAACACTTGCCTAGAGCGCCATCTGCTGTTAAACACTAGCCTAGAGCGCCATCTGCTGTTAAACACTAGCCTAGAGCGCCGTCTGCTGTTCAGCACTAGCCTAGAGCACAATCTGCTGTTCAGCACTAGCCTAGAGCGCAATCTGCTGTTTAACACTAGCCTAGAGCGTCGTCTGCTGTTAAACACTAGCTTAGAGCGCCGTCTGCTGTTAAACACTAGCCTAGAGCGCCATCTGCTGTTAAACACTAGCCTAGAGCGCCGTCTGCTGTTCAGCACTAGCCTAGAGCACAATCTGCTGTTCAGCACTAGCCTAGAGCGCAATCTGCTGTTTAACACTAGCCTAGAGCGTCGTCTGCTGTTAAACACTAGCTTAGAGCGTCGTCTGCTGTTAAACACTAGCTTAGAGCGCTGTCTGCTGTTAAACACTAGCCTAGAGTGCCACCTACAGTTTAAAACTAGCCTAGAGCGCGGTCTATTGTTAAACACTCGCCTAGAGCGCCATCTGCTGTTTAACACTAGCCTAGAGCGCCGTCTGCTGTTAAACACTAGCCTAGAGCGCCGTCTGCTGTTCAACACTCGCCCAGAGCGCCATCCACTGTTAAACACTAGCCTAGAGCGCCATCTTCTGTTAAACACTAGCCTAGAGCGCCTTCTGCTGTTCAACAATAGAAAAATTTGTTTGTTTCTTTAAGTCAGCCACTATCTAGCCTTCATCATCCTCTTCATCATCATCATCCTTATCTGTTGTTGCAGGGGTTCACATGTGGGATGTTGAGGGCCGCAGGTACTTTGACTTTCTGAGCGCCTACAGTGCAGTAAACCAGGGTCACTGCCACCCCAAGATCATTGCGGCGCTGACGGCTCAGGCATCCAGACTCACACTCACATCCAGAGCCTTCTACAACGACATCCTGGGCGCCTACGAGCAGTACATCACCGGCCTGTTCGGATACGATAAAGTGCTGCCTATGAACACTGGTGCGCTTCAGAACACACACACACACACACATACTGGAGTCTCACTTCACACACTCCTGTTTGATCCTCTCTGTTTGTTTGTTTGTTTGTTTGTTTGTTTGTTTGTTTGTTTGTTTGTTTGTTTGTTTGTTTGTGTGTGTTGCAGGTGTGGAGGGTGGAGAGACGGCTTGTAAACTGGCCCGAAAGTGGGCGTACAGTGTCAAGGGCATCCCTAAATATGAGGCCAAGATAGTTTTTGCAGGTAAATCACACAATATTATTGGGTTTGTTGGTGCACTGCATTAAAACAAGGACTGATGTACAGACCTCACCTTTTAAAGGGACCGTTTAAACAAAAATGAAGCTTATGTCAACATTTACTCATCTTCCATTTGCTCCTAACCCGTTTGAGTTTCTTTTATTCTATGCATAGGCTCAATTAAGATGCATTATAACATCCCTTATGCCTCTTCAGAGTGGAGCTAAGTAAATGTATAATCTGTATATCCTGCATTTTGCATCCTGACACAGCCATATCACCCTGCAGCCCAAGACCGGTTACTCACTGAAGCTAAGCAGGGCTGTCAGTGCCTGGATGGGAGACCACATGGGAAAACTAGGTTGCTGTTTCAAGTGGTGTTTGTGAGGCCAGCAGGGGGCGCTCAACCTGTAGTCTGTGTGAGTCTTAATGTCCCAGTATAGTGAAGGGGACACTACACTGTCAGTGAGCGCCGCATTTTGGATGAGACGTTTAACTGAGGTCCTGACTCTCCGTAGTCATTAATAATCCCATGGCACTTCTGATAAACAGTAGGGGTGTAACTCTTGTGTCCTGGCCAAAGTCCCTCAATCGGCCTTTACAATCATTGCCTCCCAATCATCCCCATCCACCGAATTGGCTCTATCACTTTCTCTCCACCTATAACTGGTGCCGTTGTCCTGTGGCTGCCGTCTTATCATCTAAGTGGAGATTAGGATCCCCCCCCAAGGAGTGTAAAGCGCTTTGGGTGTATGTCCATAGACGTCTCAGTGTGGATGGGGGAAAACAGAGACATCTGAAAATGGAGGCGGGGCTGCTGACATTCCCCTCTCTGATTGGGGCTTTGCTTTTCCTCAATATTATTAAGTAGCCTACACACAGTTCAGTCCTGCATCCTCTCCTTGTAAGTTCAGACTTTGCAAGTTTGATATGGACTTCCGAGGACATGTCGGTAATTCTCCAAAGGGAACACTGTACTTTATAACCTTTTTCACATCACATATACGTACGTTGTTTCTTTATCTTAACAATAAAATGAAAACATGAAATAAGGAACTGCTATTTTCATTTTGGTATTAACAACTTTTCAGACAGCAGAAATGTTCAGGCGTCGTGCTGCATATATGAGCGTCATCTTCACTGTATGCGTATTCATAAAAAAACGGAGCCTAACGCCACCTTTCCATTGCACACGACATTTGGACAAAACTGTCGGATTACGCCCCCTTGTGGCAGTCAAAATTTTCAGTTCTGACGTGCACCATGGGAGAGAAGCTGTTCTGGCAGTGTGCGAAATAAAGGAGTGCAAAAGCAAGAATCTTTATTTCCTGTGCGTTCACCAAGGTTGAATGAATGAATGAATATTAAAAACTTATAGACTAAAAATATTCGAGGAAATGTGGAGATAATATATAATATATATATATTATTTTATTACTTACATTTATGAACAGAAATGTTTATTTATTTTTTTTAATTAAGACTTTTTCTGATTAAAAAAACTATGTTTTGGTGTAGACAGAGAGCTGTTCAGAAACGCTGGGTGAAACGCAAGTGTATACATGGATCGTTTTCTTTCTAAAATGCCGTTTTAAAACCGTTTTAAAACTAAAACACACTAGTGTAAACGGGACCTTAGTTCATCAATTCCTCTATAGTGTGTAGACTGTGGGGGAAACTGGAGCACCCGGAGGAAACCCACACCAACACTGGGAGAACATGCAAACACGTAGATATGCCAAATGGCCCAGCTGGGAGTCAAACCAGCAACTTTCTTACTGTGAGGTCACAGTGCTAACCACTGAGCCTTCATGCAGCCCAAAATATTAATTTCAATCATTAAAATTACAAATATGAACATGTTAGTGTAATTATATTAACTATTGTTTTTTTATACAGGATATGTTTATATTGTTCCATGTATTGAATTACTGTATGAGCCCCAAAACAGAAAACTGATCATCAAAACACCAAGTCAGACATTTAATCACATAATCCCAATTATTCTTGGACAATTAATCGTCAAATGTCATAGTCGTGACAGCTCTAGTTGAGTACAAAAGATATTTTGAAAAATGTTGGAAAACTTGTAACCATTGAGGTTGCTTTCACACCTACACTTTTGTTTCGGAAGGTATCTCGTTTGCCCAGTTAGCGCGGTTCGTTTGGCATGTGTGAAACCAGCAATCGCGCTCTGATCCGCGCCAAATCAATCGCTCCGAGATTGCTTTAAGGAGGTGGTCTCGGCTCGATTGAAACAAACTCTGGAGCGGATCCATTGCAGTGAAAAGCAATCCTATCCGAGCATGGTTATATCACTGTGTTTTATGGATATGTAATAGGCATACGGCTATATGAAGAGAGAATTAGGATTATGGCGGGAAGTTTCGTGAGTCTCCGGATTCCCACAAACGAGTGATGATCTCCCGGTAATCTCGCGTCTCCTTCCCAGGCCTCAAATAGGCATCGTCGCGCACCCTTCTCACCCCTGCCCACCGCATCTCTCCTCACTCTTCAGACACATCGCGTGCACCCTGTCAATCACCACCAAACCACCACCTCCCCTGACAGCTGAGCGGGACTCTGACCCTGACACTCTGACCAATGTGAGGAGAGTTTATATACACATGACTTGTTTTAGCTGTTTTGGTCCGATTAGAAACTTTGCAGTGTGAAAGCGAACTGCACCAAGAGCAAAGAGCAACAATGTAACAATTGTAATCTCTGTTTGAATCGATTCACAGGTGTGAAAGCACCCTGACTTCCATAGTATTATTTTCCTACTATGGAAGTCAGTTGGTATCTTTGTACAACATTCTACAAAGTATCTTCTTTAATGTCCAACAGGAAAAATGAAATATGAAATTCCAGGTTTGCATTTAAGATGAGTAAATTAGTCAATTTACATTTTTGGGTGAACTATCCCTTTAAAGGTGTTTGCATAATGTTGTGTGTGTGTGTGTGTGTTTCAGCTTAAAGCTTAAGTCAAGAGTGTTTGTTTATTCTGTGTTTGTGTTTCTGCTCATCTGTGGTGTTTCTTGCTCTTCAGCTGGGAATTTCTGGGGTCGTACGATGGCGGCTATTTCCAGCTCGACGGACCCCAGCAGTTATGATGGTTTCGGGCCCTTTATGCCTGGATTTGAGCTGGTGCCGTATAATGACATTCCTGCACTAGAGGTACAGATGACACACAAATGCAAACACATACTTTCTCATGCACACTAGGGTTGGGTCGATAGACGATGGCATCGTTTATCGCAATGGACATCATGATGCTGAGCCCGCAACGCCATCCTCTGCCCTGCCCCCATCGCAGCAGCAACCCGCTCGCGAAAAACACACACTCAGGCCCTGTTTACACAAATACGTCTTAGTTTAAAATAGCATTTTAGAATGAAAACGATCCACAACCCCACTGGTGTTTCATCTAGTATTTCTGAACAGCCCTCCATCCTCAGTTTACTGCCAAAAATGCACATCACGTGACCACACACACACACACTCTGTCATGCACTGTAGCATATGCGCACGTCTGAGCTCCAGCAGTCAGCAGGTGCTTTGAGCACAAAACCCCAGAGAGCAGTGCACGTCGGACAGTTTATCAAGGATGTACCGCTGGATGGCGTCTCACTGTAGTTGTTAAACGTGATTTTTAATTAATCTTGTCTCTATCTAACAACTCTTCGGTCTTTTGGTAACGTGATTCTGCGTCAGTACACTGCTTCGATCTTTCGCTTTCATGCTTAGGGAAGTTTATTTATAGACTAATTTCGAGAGGATCACGTGCTTACGATTGCTTGCAGCCGGCCCTGCATTATCCAATTTATGATTCACCAATCAGACGACTCCAAGGCCTCTATAAATGCCCTAGGTTTCATACCACAGTCATCTACATTTTGAAGACTCCCCCCTTCCACCCCTACTCCTCCTCCTTTTCTAGATGGGTGGCACGGTGGCGCAATGTTTAGCACTGGTTCCACACAGCAAGAACGTCTTTGGTTCTGGTTATTACCAAACCAGCTGACGTTTCTGTGCGGAGTTTACACGTTCTCCCCGTGCTCATGTGGGTTCCTCCCACCATCCAAAAACATGCAACTTAAGTTAATTGACTAATCCAAATCAGCACCATAGTCATGCTCCTAGTAAGTAGTTATCTCTTAAGAGCAATCACTATCTGTTCATTAGCTAGTTCTCCAGATCTAACATAGCTCAAACTCCCCTCTCCCCTTGCAAATGAGAGGGAGCCCCGGACTCTAGGATCTCATGGGCTCAAGGCTCTTTCCTGGGACAGCATGCCAGACAAGCTTTATAATCAATCATCTGCTAAGTGTGAACTCTTGAAGTCATTTTAGTGAAACTCTCAGATACTGTTGGCTGGTTGCTGTTGGTTGTGCAGCTTTTTACCAACCAAGTTTGTCGACGCCATTATACCGACACAAATCACTGCCGACACAGATTCATGCCAGAGTCCTGCAGAAAAAGTGATTGACCTGTGGTCATCTGTGTGTAACTTACCTTTATTTATTTATGATTTGGTTATGGGTAAAACAAAGAGCATGCGTGTCAGCTAGTTGAAACAGTAGGCTACAAATAATTAATTGGTTATGAATTAATTAATTAGCGAGGCAGTGGCGCAGTAGGTAGTGCTGTCGCCTCACAGCAAGAAGGTCGCTGGTTCGAACCTCAGCTCAGTTGGCGTTTCTGTGTGGAGTTTGCATGTTCTCCCTGCCTTCGTGTGGGTTTCCTCCTGGTGCTCCGGTTTCCCCCACAGTCCAAACACATGCGGTACAGGTGAATTGGGTAGGCTAAATTGTCCGTAGTGTGTGTGTGTGTGAATGTGTGTGTGGATGTTTCCAGAGATGGGTTGCGGCTGGAAGGACATCCACTGTGTAAAAACTTGCTGGATAAGTTGGCGGTTCATTCCGCTGTGGGGACCCCGGATTAATAAAGGGACTAAGCCGACAAGAAAATTAATGAAAGAATTAATTAATTATTCATAAATCATTAGTTCTCCGATGCCATCGTCCATCGCAGTGTTTCACATTAGACATCATACAATGCCTAATCGGTCGACATCACCCAACCCTAATACACACACACACATGTGAGCAGTGATTATTAAACAGGCTTGAGCTGCAAGATGAACGCTTTATGCGAACATTAAATCACAAAAACTGAGATTTAAGTATGTTAGTAATGTAATAAAACTGTAGTTGTTATCTAGGCTGATGTGACTCTATTCGTCAAATCTGACCTGTGTTTATCATGTAATATATCCACTCACTGTGTTCATTTACACACAAGCGAGCATGTTTTATTAGTGCTGTTAGTTTGCCAGCAGCCTTTGCAGTATTTCCTATGTTAAGATTTCTGTTTAGTAATAACACTAATCATTATTAGACTATGATTACATAAACAATTATTATTAAAGAAGCTTATAATAATAAAAACTCAAGATAATGTTTATTATTTTAGAGTCAGAGCGTGAAGTCTGGACTATCACGTTTCTCAACAAGCTCAACCTGCTTTCTTCTGTTTGTGTGTGTGTCCGTGTGTGCGTGTGTGTGTGCATGTGTGTGTGTGTGTGTGTGCGTGTGTGTGTGTGTGTGTGTGCGTGTGTGTTTGTTTTTGTGTGTGTAATACAGAAAGCACTACAGGATCCACATGTGGCTGCGTTTATGGTGGAGCCCATCCAGGGTGAAGCGGGTGTCGTCGTTCCTGATGCCGGATACCTGCAAAAAGTCCGGGAACTCTGTACTAAATACAATGTGAGTAAACACACACACACACACACACACACACATACAAACAAACTACTTTTTGTAAATTGTGGGGACATTCCATAGGCTTCCATTGATTTACCAATTTCACACTGTACACACTGTATATTCTGTCCCTATCCCTAAACCCAACCCTCACAGGAAACACTGCAGTTGACTTTGTAAAGAACATCATTCAGTGGGATTACCATGTCCTTGAAATACCAGCGACATACCCATGACATTATACACATATGAGTCCTTATATGTTACACACACACACATTAATCTCCAAGACTGCCTGTGTTTGGTTGCTGATGTCAGTATGATGTTTGCTCTGCAGGTTCTGTTCATTGCTGATGAGGTTCAGACGGGTTTGTGTCGCACTGGCCGCCGGCTGGCTGTGGACCACGAGGCTGTGCGGCCAGATCTGGTGATTCTGGGTAAAGCTCTGTCAGGAGGAGTATATCCTGTGAGTCTTTCTCTCTCTCTCACACACACACACACACACACACACTCACTCAAACTGTCAATAATCTGCCAATGGCCTTTAATACTTCTCTTGCACAATATCCTGCACAACATTGTTCAGTCTCATGTAAAAGTACTTGTATAGCCTGTCTTATGTGTATAGTTTAAGTATCTTATAGTATATGTTAGTTCATTCAGTCATTTATTTTCTTTTCAGCTTAATCCCTTTATTAATCAGGGGTCGCCACAGCAGAATGAACCGCCAACTTTTCCAGCTTATTTTTTACGCAGCGAATGCCGTTCTAGCTGCAACCATCCATACACTCTCATTCACACTCAAATCCAGTTCACCTGTACCGCATGTCTTTGGACTGTGGGGGTAAGCGGAGCACCCGGAGGAAACCCACGCGAACGCAGGGAGAACATGCAAACTCCACACAGAAACGCCAACTTACCCAGCCAAGGCTCGAACCAGCGATCTTCGTGCTGTGAGGCGACAGCACTACTTACTGCGCCACTGCGTCGCATTTATGTTAGTTATGTCCAGTGTTGTGTTTGTATTTATGATAAATGTATGTATCACGTTGTCCTGTGAGACACGACATTTCGTTGTATGTCTCTCTTTATGTCCACACATGAATGAAAATGAAGCTGGACTTGACTTGATCTTATTTCAAAGCGGAAACAAGATTATTCTGCTTCCCCCATTGGCAGATTATTTTACTATTTTAAATGAAAAACTCACTTAACTTTGACATATTTTTTCTGAAAACGACAATATTTTTGCCTGTCTAAAAAATGCTTCTAGATGTTAAGAATATTTCAATATTTTAATCACCGAGGTATCTGCGGGGTCTTAAAATGTCAAATTGTAGGCCTTAAAAAGTCTTAAATCTACTGAAGTATTGCATTGCAGGTCTTAAAACTTATTTTAACAGGTCTTAATTTTCCATGAAAGCAATTGATGCACGTCCAAAAGCATCCGCAATGTGTTGTTAGGAATGAGAAACTGCTACTATGATGTGCACAAATAACTAATTGTTTTGAGAAATGCAAATGTAAATAGTGTTGAGAAACATACCAACTGTAAGAAAAACTGTAAGAATATTTCAATATTTTAATCACAAAGGTATCCGTGGGGTCTTAAAATGTCAAATTTAAGGCCTTAAAAGGCATAAAAGGCTGAAATGTTGTGTTGCAGGTCCTAAAACTTATGTTAACGGTTCTTAATTTTCCATTGTTCATGTATAGCTGCCCGATTGAGAGTGGTCTGGCTGCAGACTCGGTGCAGTGCAATCTGAGCTGCATCCAATGCTTTTTAATGCGCTCACCTAACCCCACCCCTAACCCTACCCGTCACAGTGACGTCACTCACTCCATTGAGTGCAATGAGTCTGACATTGCATCGCTGAGTGATGCAATCTGAGCTTGCATCATAAAGGCTGCATCCAGATACTAATGGCCCGATCTGGCCGTTAACACTCTTACAATCACCAACAATCCATCTCAATAAAACTTTCTCTTTAAAAACATGCTTTCTACTTACCATAATGTTTTAATTACTTTTCTTACAGAAACATTTTTTAAATGTTCTCCATTTATTTACTGCTGAGGACACTGACATATATTTATTTATTATTATTATTATTGTATTAATAAATGTATAGGGAGGCAATGAATGAATTTTAAATGTATTAAATTATAGTCTTTTTTTTTGATGGAGCCAGTGAAAATCTTTTCCAAGTGGAATATTCGAAAAATTCCTTAGCATTTAGCCCTGTATGAGTGTAGAGTTTCATTTATAAAGGTCTCAAAAAGTCTCCTAAATTTGACTTGGTGAAACCTGCAGAAACCCTGGGCCACAAACAAGACAAAAAACTTGAAAAATTTTGAAAAAAGCATTTTTGCAGTGTAAACAAACACACACACACACACACACACACACACACACACACATATACACACACACACAAAAGTGTCTGATGGTCATCATAAATATACATGATCTCTCTCTCTCTCTCTCTCTCTCTCTCTCTCTCTGTGTGTGTGTGTGTGTATCAGGTGTCTGCAGTTCTGTGTGATGATGAAGTGATGCTGACCATCAAACCCGGAGAACACGGATCCACATATGGAGGAAACCCTCTGGCTTGCCGTGTCGCCATCGCTGCTCTGGAGGTGTGTGTGTGCCTTGCATTTCTAATGTTATGGGGACCCAAATGTCCCCACAAGTATAACAATACCTTTAAATTTTGCACTTATGGGGATGTTTATTTATTTGGTCCCATGAGAAAACAGCTCATAAATCAGACAGAATGAAGTATTTTGACAGTGTAAAAGTGCAGATTGTTTTCTGTGAGGGTTGAGTTTAGAGTAGGACAGAATCTGAAACTGTTTCATGTCTGCACTATGTACTTTGTTGCACTGTTTGCACGTTTTGTACTCTGTACTGGAAGCTCCTGTCACAAAGACAAATTCCTATTGTGGCAACCAAGCTCTTTCTGATTCAGTGGTCATGTCAAAGCAGTAACTAAGTCATCATGCTATCTTCAAAACATTGCAAGGACTAGATGCTTTGTTTCCAGTGAAGACTTAGAGAAGCTTGTTCATGCTTTTATCAGCAGCAGGGTGGATTACTGTAACGGCCTCCTCACTGGCCGTCCCAAAAACACAGTCAGACAGTTGCAGCTCTGCCAGGATTCTGACTAGAAGCAGAAAATCAGTAGTATTTACTGTTTTATTATTTATTATTTTAAAGTATTATTACTGGTCTATGAATCACTAAATAGCCTAGGAGCTCAATACATTACAGATATACTCACTGAATACAAACCCAACAGATCACTCAGATCATTAGGATCATATAAACTAGAAGTTCCAAGAGTTCAGTCAAAGCAGGGTGAATCAGCCTTCAGCTACTAACAGCGCCCCCTGCTGCTGGAATCAGCTTCCAGAAATGATCAGATGTGCTCCAACATTGGGCACATTCACATCAAGACTGAACACACATCTGTTTAGCTGTGCCTTTACTGAATGAGCACTGTGCTGTCTGACAGATCACACTATTATGTCTTTCTCTTCTTTTTCGTTCATTTATAACCTGTTTTTAATTATTTTATTCTTTGTTGTTTTTATTTTCTTATACTTGTCTTTTTTAATTTTTGTTTATGTAAAGCACTTTGAATTGCCACTGTGTATGTAATGTGTTATAGAAATAGACTTGCCCTGATTCTGATTCAGAATATACAGGCTTTATAGTTGAAACATCATCACAGCTGTCTGTATGTGTGTGGAGTAAAGCCTGTTTCACACCGCAAGCATTAGCAGCGCGTGTTTTTTCGGCGTCCATGTTAACAGATTGCAACTTTATACTGCTTGCAGAAGCGGCATGAGCGTCGCTAAAGCAGCATTGCTGCGATAGTTTTGCCGTTGGGTCTATTTTTGCAGCGCTGCTCACGCTCAAAGTGACAGTGCATTGATAATGACCAATAACACATTGAATGACAATAAAAAGTAGCAATTTTACCCAATAAATGCATTAATAATATCCACTGATTTACATACAGTCAATCAAATGAACTTAAATGATTAAAAACGGCAACAAATATTTATTTGGGCCCGAACTACAAAACAAAATAACCAAAAAAACAATCTTAATGTTAGTTTTGCTTAAGTTGCAAACTAGTTTGATCATGTATAAATATCATTATAACTATATTGTATAAATATTATTCTAACTACATCATCCCTATAGGAGCCATATTACTTTTCATTTAATTATAATGTTTATTTGTATACTGATTAGTTTGGGTTTCACAGTGACGTTTTATGTTTTGGTCACGTGGGCATAACTGGCACCTGCTAGAACAAATAAAGCGCGTGCACAATCACACAGGTGTTAGGAGGAGAGAAGGAGAGTGGGGTTGCCGTATTTTTTGTTGACCGCAAAATCAGCAGCGCAAACAGCCACGCAAACAACAACGCAAAACGGCATCGCAAGGCAACGACACGTGCAACAACCATATCACTCCATACAAAACAGGTATTCAACTCACAAATTGTATTGTTTACAATAAAGTTTTCCTTATTACATCTTGGGCTCAGTGTGTCTGTCTAAAGCCACCAGCGCGTCATAATTCAAAGGACCCTCACTGCCTCTCGAGCGACTTATAGGAGGCATCAGGAAGTCGGAATAATCCTGACAAAAAAATGACATGATATCCCAAGCAATTGTCTTCTGACCGAGTGCACCAGACATGAATGACACTCCACATAGAGCTTGAGAAGCAGACAGTTCTTTAGAATCTATATAATTTGTAAAATAAAGACTTGCAGGTCAAGGAAACAGCATAGGAGGAAGTTGCCGCGGGTCTTGCTCGCGTTCAATCTGCCCAGTTGGTGGAATGAACTCCCTCACTGCATCAGAACGGCAGAGTCACTCGCTGTCTTCAAGAAACCACTAAAAACTCAACTATTTAGTCTCCACTTCCCTTCCTAATCTGCAATTGCCTCTCTGGATATACTGCTAACTGTACTCAAAAAAAAAAGAATAAATAAATTTACCGATGCTTTCCTTCTTCGACTTTACACACCTGAAACTTGCCTACAGCACTTATTCATTGTTGCTCTTATAGTTGTGTAAATTGCTTCCTTGTCCTCATTTGTAAGTCGCTTTGGATAAAAGCGTCTGCTAAATGACTAAATGTAAATGTAATGTCTTGGTGCAGATAAAAAGTTAAAAAAATATATAGACAGGTAACTAGATAAAATAGAGACAGAGATAGATTGATCTGTGCAGCAGGTGCCGACGAGTGCTTCTGCTCTCCATACGCGATGCGAATGCAATGCTCACGCTCTGCTTGTGGTGTAAAACAGGCGTAAGATGTGCAAGTGTGTGTGTGTGTCTGTGTGTTGTGTAAAGCGCTGTGCTCTGGATGTGTTCAGGTTCTGGAGGAGGAGAATCTGGCTGCGAATGCTGAGCGTATGGGGCAGATCCTGAGAGCCGAACTCAACAAACTGCCCCGAGAGATCGTGAGCGGCGTCCGAGGAAAGGGCCTTCTGAACGCCATCATCATCAAAGAGACTAAAGGTCAGAAGCAGAGCAGCACTAAACCACCAACACTGAATTTCAATTCAGTTTCAATTCATCTTTAATTCTATAAGAACTCAGGGGCCCCTGGGCACATTGTCTTGTAAGGCCCCCTACCTGGCCGCACCCCTATAGTTGAATTTAAAAAATATGAAAAGTATAATAATTTTTAAATAAAATGAATCTATAATTTGTTGCCCACATATTTAAATAAATGATATATAGTACATATGTATTTATAGTCTACAAAGATTTAACTTATTTTTCAAAGCATTGAATAAAAATACTAATAAAACTATAAATATATATATATATATATATATATATTTTTTTTTTTAAGGGTATTTTAATGTATTGCTTTTACAAACTTATAAAGCATTTTATTGCCATGGCATATAACGCACAATGCTTCTCCAATCCAGTTCTATGAATCTGAGTTCTATAAATCTGAGTCTTTCATAATACAAACACTGATTTACTGTCTCTCTCCTCCTCTCCCTGTGATGAAGACTTGATTATAAACTTAAAAGTATCCGAAATCACACACACTATACCTCTTCTCTCCCGTCTCTCTCCTCTTCTGGGCCTTTCTCTCTCTCTCTCTCTCTCTCTCTCTCTCTCCTTTTCTGTCTGTCTCTCACACGATGAATCCAGTCCGCACTGCGCTGCCGTTAGCCTCCTCCGCCTGGTTAATGCTAGCTTCTCATCATTTCAACTAGGGTTGTAACGGTATGAATTTTTTACGGTATGATAATCGTCTAAAACAATACCACGGTTTGACGGTTTGGCGGTATACGGTATGTTACAAATGTTACAAAATAATAGAACAGTGAAGCAAATTTGACTTTTTCCAAATAATATATTTTCAGTTACTATAAACAACACCACTTACAATGAACAAATAAAAAAATAAGAAAATAATAAATAATGTGTCAAAGTCCAAATAAAGTCCAAATAAACATTGTGCAAATCCTCAGTAAAAAAATAGATATAAATATTTACTATACTATAAATAGTTACATAACAAAACTAGATTCAATATGGAACATCTTTAGGTTTTATGTGCCAGCATGGATATGGTTGTCTGTGGATATAGATTTGGATTTGGTTGTCTGCAATGCAGACAAACAGCTGCACCTTCATTTGCGTCTTTTGAAAACAGCAAGAGCAGCAGTTCGTCTTTGCTGTGTCACTGTTTTGTCATGTTTCTGTGCTGCTGTGCATGCAAAAGTACTTAGTATGAGAATTATTTCATGCAAAACTTTTTTTTTTGCGTTTTATTTAGTATCTCTCATTCCGTGTTGTTCAAAAAGCTCATTGTTGGTCCACAAACAAAAGCGAAACCTATGCTTATTGGTTGTGATATAGCGAGTTTGAACCAATCTGGGCATGGGGGAGGGACAATGCATCAATGTATCATGTCTGGTTTGTCCGGAGACACAGTGACGAGCGTTTCTTTGTCAAATCAGCGTTGTCAAATTTTGATGACGTAACCGCACTGATTCCGGAACCTCTGAAAGTTATGTGATACAGCACTGGAAAGCTGAGATTCTCTTCTTTATGCCAATCTTTGAATTGTATGAATCGGATCAGCGGATCAAAAGTTATTAAACATTTAAGAGCAATACTTATTTTTAGCCGCGGGCGGCTGTCTCTGTCTTTAAGGGTTAAAACCGTTGATATGCAATTGTTCATGGTATGATAATCGTGCACGTTCAAATCGTGGTAGACTGTCATACCGGTATATTGTTACAACCCTAATTTCAAGTTACCATAACTTCTTCTTCTGTACCCTCATTCTCCTGATCATGGGTCCGTTTAAAGAAGGTGTGTATGGAAAATGCCTCAATAAAGATGCCTCCTCTCCTCTTTCTCTCGCGTTTGCTAAATCCACTTGTCCACTCATTTTTGATCTATGACAGATATAACGTTACACCAAAGTCCGCTCAGTTTAGTGCGGGTTATTACAAAACTGACGTTTCCGCGCTTTAGTTAACGAAAAAAGGCAGTTTAAATATAATAATAATATTAATATGTTATCACGATTTTTTTTGCACAGAGGAAATACAGTTGTCTGAGCAATATAGTTTTTGCAGAGAGGGAGGCACCTATAATAAGGCTAAACATTATTAAATACCCACGAGACGCTTGTGACTTTATTTCACATTTGCATTATTTTAAAAAAATGTTTCCTTCCTGTTAAAAATAAATAGATTTCCAATCTGATATGTAATGGGGAGAAAAAAAGTAGCACGAGTTCAACTGATGGTGGATTCGAACCGAGTTTATGATTAATCTCGTCAAAAGATGTTGCTGTGCGCCTTACAAGGTACGCCACTGTGGCTGTAATGATTAACAGCTCTTTACTCATCTTGTCTCTATCAATCAGGCATCGATGGGCGTAAACCCTGAATAGCTTATTCCAACTAGATGCGCTATTTGCAATTAGCCTAAAAAGACACTCCGAAATTGTCTTTTTTTCTCCCCCTCGCAGGGGCCCCTAGTGCGCACGGGCCCCTGAGCCTGTGCCCATAAGGCCCATTGGTTAATCCGGCCCTGAGTCCTGCAGTTCAGGCAGGCAGGAGAGTAGTGTAGAGCGCTGGGGTAGTTCTAGTCAATTGAAACTGAATCAGTGATTGTTCTGAAGGTGAGTTTAGTTTGGATCAGCTCATTTCAGCATGTGGCCAAAGAAATATCGTAGTCAGATCAACTTTTTCCATACTGAGTGATTGTTATTGCTCTAAATAAGATTTATTTGATGTTGATGTGCAAATACTGACTGCGCACAATGAATTTCCAGTCAATCGTCTAGTGTTGCGTGGGATGTTCAGGCTTTATTTGAGTACAAAACCTCAGCTGTGAGAGCAGAACCTGTCAGAAGCACAATAAGATAAAACAAGAGGATTAGACATTGATTAAGTCAGTGATTGCTCTATATGTTCAACTTCTGTACAGAGAGGTCACGTTTTAAACTACTGTTGATCTCATGCAGTCACGTGATGCTGTTTCAAAGGTCAGAGTTCAGCAAGCTTGAACTGTGCAATGCAGCAAAACGGGAAACTTAAGGCAAAAGCTTGCGTTTACAGTTTGCTGCATGCGTACGAATGGAAGTCTATGGGGTGTTTGGGTTGAATTATTCTATTTTTTTTTTTATTCATCATCAAAAGAGATAGACAGACGGACGGATGGAGGGATAGATAGATAGATAGATAGATAGATAGATAGATAGATAGATAGATAGATAGATAGATAGATAGATAGATAGATAGATGGATGGATGGATGGACGGACGGACGGACGGACGGACGGACGGACGGACGGACGGACGGACGGACGGACGGACGGACGGACGGACGGACGGACGGACGGACGGACAGACAGACAGACAGACAGATAGATAGATAGATAGATAGACGGATAGATAGATGGATAGAAGTGCGGATGGATAGATAGATAGATAGATAGATAGATAGATAGATAGATAGATAGATAGATAGATAGATAGATAGATAGATAGATAGATAGATAGATAGATAGATAGATAGATAGATAGATAGATAGATAGATAGATAGATAGATAGATAGATAGACAGACGGATGGATGGATAGATGATATACAGGCAGACAGACAGACAGACAGATAGATAGATAGATAGATAGACGGACGGACGGACGGACGGACGGATAGATAGATAGATAGATAGATAGATAGATAGATAGATAGATAGATAGATAGATAGATAGATAGATAGATAGATAGATAGATAGATAGATAGATAGATAGATAGATAGATAGATAGATAGATAGACAGACGGATGGATGGATAGATGATATACAGGCAGACAGACAGACAGACAGATAGATAGATAGATAGATAGACGGACGGACGGACGGATAGATAGATAGATAGATAGATAGATAGATAGATAGATAGATAGATAGATGGACGGACGGACGGACAGACAGACAGACAGACAGACAGATAGATAGACAGATTTGGTTTTTACACACTTCTGTGGTTTTAGAGGTGCAGGTGGGCTGATAATCTGAGCTGTATTTACAGGAGCGGCTCAACTCTCTGACTCTGAGCGTGTGAGAAATAATAATCCTGTAATCTTCTGTTCAGACTATGACGCCTGGCAGGTGTGTCTGCGTCTCCGTGACAACGGACTGCTGGCCAAACCCACTCACGGTGACATCATCAGACTGGCCCCGCCCCTCACCATCAACGAGCAGGAGGTCAGGGAGTGCGTGGAGATCATCAGCAGGACAATCCTCTCCTTCTGAAGACTCCGACTGAAGATTTCAGCTGCTTTTAGGCTTCTTTTATCCCGCGTAGTGCTGCTGTTACTCTGATCCTACTTCTAGCGCTTTCAGTTGCTCATTCGTCCTGTTTGTCTGTCATTCTCAGCTGATTGTGAGGCTCCAGAGTAGTGTGCTGCTTCCCAATTCGCATGCTATCCATCCTAAATAGTATTCAGAAATATTAATAGTGTGTTCCAATTTATATTATGGTGGAAAGAATATTCCTGGATGAAACATTATTATTATTATGTATATAATATATTTTTATTATTATTATTATAAGTTCACACTCTTATTGGCTAATATTAACAAGAATGCATTTGATGTTGGTCGTGAATTCGATTATAACTACAAACACAGGTCAAGAATGTTGAAAAACTACAAACATGGCCGATTACGAAGACTGATGGTGACGTAAAGAGTCTTTTGTTAGGATGTTTGAATGATTCTTAATTATTAATATCTAATCCTCTAAAATATATTTATTTTAACATTTATATTTCATCGCCAACAACTTCTGAACTTCTGTTGGACGCGAATTCGATTAGAACTACAAATACAGGTTAAACTGTGTTAAAAAACTACAAACATGGCCGATTACACAAGATCGATGCTTAAGTAAAGAGTCTTTTGTTAGGATGTTGGAATGATTCTTACTTATTAATATCTAATCTTCTGAAATATATTTATTTTAACATTTATATTTAATCTCCAACAATGTCTGAACTTTTGATGAACGTGATTTCGATTAGAACTACAAACACAGGATAAACAGTGTTGAGAAACTACAAACAAGGCCGATCACACAAGACGGATGGTTAAGTGGAGAGAGTCTTTGGTATAGATGTTTGAATGGATCTTAATTAATATCTGACCTATGTATTAATATAATATAATATGAATATATATATTTATTTTAATCTCCAACAACCTCTGAATGCATAATTATGCAAATTTGAGATTGTTCTGCATCTCCAATATGATACAGTAGGACACTAAATATGAAAGAGATGTGGATGATGTGACCAGATGATTGACATTGTAACTAGGCAACAGAACAGTTAATTAATGAGGACGTAGTATGTCTCAAAGCTTGCACAGGTTAGGTCTAGATGGGATACAGCTGTGGATACTCACATCATTAATTAATTTTCCTTCGTCTTAGTCCCTTATTTATCAGTAATCGCCACAGCGGAATGAACCGCCAACTATTCCAGCATACGTTTTACACAGCAGATGCCCTTCCAACTGCAACCCAGTACTGGGAAACACCCATACACACTAATTCCCACACTCGTACACTTCAGCCAATTTAGTTTATTCAGTTCACCTATAGTGCATGTCTTTCTTCCAGAGCACCCAGAGGAAACCCACGCCAACACAGGGAGAACATGCAAACTCCACACAGAAATGCCAACTGACACAGTCAGGACTCAAACTAGAGACCTTCTTGTTGTAAGGCAACAGTGTTAACCACTGAGCCACTGATACTCACATCAATATAGCATAATTTTTATGACCCTGGTTAACAATAATGCATATTTTTACGTTACTGTGAGGCTTGAAGTAGGGGTTGACGTTAATAAAATGCTAATTTAATAAATAATATAAATAAATCTCAATAACTTCCGTACACAGCTGTATCCCTTCTAGCAACAACCGATGCAAAAGTATATACTGCAAAATAAAACAAACTACATACTTTTAGGACGTAATATAAGTAGTCGAATTGGTATGTAGCTGTAGGTTCTCCTGGATGAAGGTCTGTTTTCATTCTGACGAGGTTACATGAAGAATTGATGACGTTTACGGTTTCGCTTATTCAGATGGAGAATAATGCAGGTCAAGTCATGCATGGGTCTCAAACTCAATTCCTGGAGGGCCGCAGCTCTGCACAGTTTTGCTCCAACCCTAATCAAACACAGCTCATCCAAATAATCGAGGTGTTCAAAAGAGTCTGAAAACCTTGATTAGCTGCATCAGCTGCGTTTGATTAGGGTTGGAGAAAAACTGCAGAGCTGCGGCCCTCCAGGAATTGAGTTTGAGACCTATGTAGAGTGAATATTGAGTAGCTTCGTTTGTGCAGCTGCTGTTTGTGTGTGTGTGTGTGTGTGTTTTTAAAGGAACTATTTAAGTCTCACATTTTGATGTGTGGAGTTGAATAGAGAGGAGTTGTACTTGATGTAATGAGCACTTTAACAGCAGTGGGTAATGTTGTGAAACTAGGCTCGGTCAAAACTGAGCCTGAATCTGCTGTTTGTTTCCTGGAAGCGAAGCATTAAGAGAGGAGCATTTATCAAGGAGGATTCAGGATGAACTGTGAATTAAGATTAGGATTCAGTTTGTTTGTTTGCGTTTCCTGTACAATGTTTAATGAACGTTTGATGAACGTTTAATGAATGTTTAATCAACGTTATGAGCTTTTAAACGATGTTTAATGAACATTGAATGTATGTTTAATGAATCAAGTGTGTGTGCTTGCATCAGATGATGATATATTTCTGTTAATAAATTATTTTCAGTCAGCTGAAACACTTTGTGATCATTAGATGAGTGAAGTTTTTTTTTAATTAAAACAATATACACTCACCGGCCACTTTATTAGGTACACCTTACTAGTACCAGGTTGGACCCCCTTCTGCCTTCAGAACTGCCTTAATCCTTCACGACATAGATTCAACAGTCTATACTGGAAATATTCCTCAGAGATTGTGCTCCATATTGTCATGATAGCATCACACAGTTGCTGCAGATTTGTCGGCTGCACATCCATGATGCCAATCTCCCGTTTCACCACATCCCAAAGGTGCTCTATTGGATTGAGCTCTAGTGACTGTGGAAGCCATTTGAGTGCACTGAACTCATTGTCATGCATGTGAACTCATTGTCTTTATGACATGGTGCGTTATCCTGCTGGAAGTAGCCATCAGAAGATGGAGACACTGTGCTCATAAAGGGATGGACATGGTCAGCAGCAATACTCAGGTATGCTGTGGCGTTGACACAATGCTCAATCGGTACTAATGGACTTAAAGGGTGCCAAGAAAATATCCCCCACACCACTTATTTTGTCATACCACTTAATGACTTTGGAGGACGAATCTGGCGAAACAAAAAATAGATAAACACACATTTACTCATTTATTTCTATATTTGCATATTTATTTACTCAATTATTTATATATTTGCATATACATTTATTATTTTATGTATGCTGGAATTTATAGATTTATTTACCTATTCATATATTTGCAAAAAATTTTATTTATACTGGAGTTTATGAATTTATTTACTTTTTAATTTATATATTTGCATATTTATTTGATATTTTACTTATGCAGGAATTTATACATTTATATACTCATTTATATATATTTGCATAGTTATTTATTTAATTTTTTTATTTATGCAGGCATTTATGGATTCATTTACTTATTTATTTATATATTTGTATATTTATTTATTATTTTATTTATGCAGGATTTTATGCATTTATATACTCATTTATTTATATGTTTGCATATTTATTTATTTATTGTTTTGTTTATGCAGAAGTTTATGGATTTATTTACTCATCTATTTATATATTTGCATATTTATTTATTTATTTATTTATTCACTTATTTATGTAGGAATTTATGGATTTATTTACTTATTTATTTATTTATTGCATATTTATTTCAATTATTTATGTAGGAATTTATGGATTTATTTACTCATTTATTTATATATTTGCGTATTTATTTACTATTTTATTTATGCAGGAGATTATGTATTTATTTACTCATTTATTTATATATTTGCATATTTATTTATTCATTCATTTATTTATGTAGGAATTTATGGATTTATTTACTCATTAATTTTTTTATTTGCGTATTTATTTGTTATTTTATTTATGCAGGAATTTATGCATTTATTTGCTAATTTAATTATATGTTTGTATATTTATTTATTTAATATTTTATTTATGCAGGAGCTGATATATTTATTTGCTCAATTATTTATTTTATTTATGCAGGAGTTTATATATTTATTTACTCATTTATTTATATATTTGCGTATTCATTTATTTAATATGTTATTTATGCAGGAGTTTATGGATTTATTTACTTATTTATTTGTATATTTGCATATTTATTTATTAATTCTGAAAATACAGTAAGGTCTAGCTTGCATTAATTAATGGGGTTTGCCATAGGCAAAGTCCATTCTTACAATTGTGCTGGCTTATTATTCTTCTTCTTCCTTCTTCCGTACCATTTTTCGGCGCGTAACTAGTCCCGCAGCTTTCGTCCCAGACCCTTGAAAGTGGGCTCAAATCGTCCGGTCTTATCGGGAATGGTGTGCTATGACTTTTATAAGGGGTGGGGGGTTTTTTGGCCCCGCAGGGGCCAAAAAACCCCCCCAAAAATCCCATAGACTTAACATTGAGCCGAACTTTGACGACTCGCAGCGCCGCGTGTGAATTTCATAGAAATATGGGATTCACAGCATCTGTAGAGGGTTGCAGCCTAAGTGAGAACATACCTCGCAAGGGGGTAAAAGTTGCACCCCTGGGGCTCTAGGACGTCCCAAAGTGCTCCCATTGACTTACATTGGCCCCATTGACTCCCATTCATTTTTCTAGAAGAGCACTAACGCCCCCGCGAAATGGGACGACATTTAAAGCGTTATAGCGCCAAGTGTGAAATTCGTAGAAATATGGGATTCGCAACATCTGTAGGGGGTTGCAGCCTGTATGAGAACATACCCCAAAAAGGGGTATAAGTTGTACCCCTGGGGTGCTAGGACGTCCCAAAGGGGTCCCCATTGACTTTACATGGCCCATTGACTCCCATTCATTTCTTGACTCACATGTCAATCACATTACATAGCAGTGTCATACAGACTTGGGGGTTGGCTAACTTGACTGAGGCAACCAATCAGCATCTCAATATGATTTTGAAGCTCACAAGCCACGCCCCCCAAACCATTTAAAGACCCTTAATAACTGCCCCATTGACTTAACATGGGGTGGGATGTCCCATTGCACATCCTATTGACTTCCATTATAAAGGTCACACATCTATAACATTACATAGGAGTGTCATAGAGACATGGGGGTGGGCTCATTTGACTCTGGCAACCAATCAGCATCACTATATGATAATGAAGCTCACAAGCCACGCCCCCAAATTGATCCCATAGACTTCTATTATAATTGGGCTAGATGCATATCTTTGCATTGCAGTGTCATACAGGCTTAGGGGTTGGCTTATTGGACCCAGACAACCAATGAGCATCTCAATATGGTAATGAAGCTCACAAGCCACGCCCCCAAACTGGTCCCATAGACTGCCATTATAACTGGCCTACATGCATATCTTTGCTTAGCAGTGTCCTATTGACTTGGGGGATGGCTCATCTGACTCAGACAACCAATGAGCATCTCGATATGATAATGAAGCTCACAAGCCACGCCCCCAAATTGGTCCCATAGACTTCCATTAAAATAGGCCTACATGCATATCTTTGCTTAGCAGTGTCCTATTGACTTGGGGGTTGGCTCATTTCACTTGGACAGCCAACCACATTCAAGTTCACTCTGTAACCTCGCCCATAGCAACAAAACAGAGTACCCTAGCAACCATTCATCAACAGCTATATCTCAGGATCGGAACATCGTAGAGACTTGGGGATTGGCTCGTTTCACTCATGCTAGCAAACGGAACTTCCTGTATGCTACACATGCTAGCAGTGACTAGCTACATGCTAATATTGACTAGCCAAGTACTGTAACTTGCTAGAAATGCTTACTCAGGCATGTATATGAGGCTTGCCTAGTAACCACCCGGGGTACCCTAGCAACTGCCTAGCAACCACTCAAATTACCCTAGCAACCGCCTAGCAACCACCTAGCAACCGCCTAGTAGCGCCTTAGTAAGGGCCTAGCAACCACTCAGGACACCCTAGCAACCGCCTAGCAACGCCTTAGCAACCACTCAGAATACCCTAGCAACCACCTAGCAACACCTTAGCAACCACCTTAGCAACCACTTAGGACACCTTAGCAACCACCTAGCAACACCTTAGCAACCACCTAGCAACCACTCAGAACACCCTAGCAACTGCCTAGCAACCACTCAGAACACCCTAGCAACCACCTAGCAACAC